GATGGGAAGTAAGGAGAGGGAGGAGGGCAGAGAGCCCCCTCCCCCCCCAGCCCAAGGCAGGATCTGGGCGTGCTGAGAGTACCAAACGGTTCGATGGAGTCCCACTTCCAGACGCTGGTTCCCTGCACGAGGCCTGGAGTGAGGCTCTGTGCCAAGCCCTTGGTGCACAGTATCACATTAATTCTCCCGAGGATCCTCAGAAAATGGGATCCTGATTTTCTAGGTGAAGAAGCTGAACACAGAGAGGGTAGGCAACCTGATCAAGGTTGCACAGCCAGGCACTGGAAGCCAGCAAATCCAAATCCAAGCCCATGCTCTGCACTCTTACAAAAACAAAACAAACCAAAGAAAAGCATCAGAGAGAAAGAGTTTGTTCCCAGCTGGGAGTGGAAAAATCCACAGAGGAGAAAGGTAAATATGAACTTGGTGTTTGCAGGAAAGGCATCCTCTCAAAGGCATAGTCCATACAGCTTCAGCCAAGCAAGGCCCTCACTGCCCAGCCCGGCTTCAGTCACAGGGAGCCCATGGCCTGAGACAGTCAGTGAGGCAGCCTCCATTGTTCTTTAGTTTACGAAACAAATGAAAACAGAAACTGCTGTTTGCAATGCTCTAAAATGATTTCATGACCCACTGGGACAGGCCCCTGCGGTCTGCACTCTGTGGACGAGGCAGGTCAGCCTCTCGGGGACGGAGCTGGGCTACAGGGTTGGGGGAGACACAAGCAAGCCAGTGACTGCCCTGGGAGTCAGGGCAGTGGGTGGGCACTGGCTGCTCAGATTCAGCTGGGGTAGAAGTTTGTATTTTCTCAAAATGGTGAGAGGAGTAGCTCTGATTCCACATGTCTTCCAGAACCTTCTGCTCTCATCAAGACATTCCTCATCTATGCTCCTTCTGCTTGAGCGTTGGTAACTGCTCTGGCCAGTGGGTTGTGGCAGGGTGATGCCATGTGACTTCCAAGGCTGGGCCTTAAGTAGTATTCAGCTCTCTCTCAGAAGGCTCCTCTGGAACCTGGCCAGTGTGGAGGGCCACTTGAAAGGCCCACAGTAGCCAACAAACCGGGCTTAAGTTCTCAGCCAGTAGCCAGACATAAGATTCTGCCTTTGAGCCACCCTCTAAGGGGTCATATGTGGAGCCAAGGTGAACCATCCCCACCAAGTCTCAGCTGCGTTGCAAAACAGATGTTGCTGTATTAAGCCATTACATTTTGGGGATAACCTGTTATACAGCCATGGTAACTGTAACAGTAATTGTTGTTTAATAATTATCCCCATTTGACAGATGAATAAATGGATGCAGAGTCTTGTCAAAGGCATCCCAGCTGTTAAACAGCAGATGATCTGACCCCAGAGGCCACTGTTTATTTTTAACTTTTCATTAAAAACATTTTCAAACAAAAGTAGGGAGAAGAGCACAACTAACCCACATGTGCCCATCACCTGGATTCAGTGGTGACCAACTCCTGGCTGAGCCTGTTTCTTCTCTACTTTCAATGCCTCTTTCCACTGCTGGATTGTTTTGAAGCAAGTCCTATATATGTTAGGTCATTTCACTTGTAAATGCTTCACTGTTTATCTCTGAAAGAGCGTGCAGTCTTCTTAAACACTCTGTTACCCCAACATCCAGGACTCCATCAAGTTGCTGCCTGGTCTGAGGCAGTTTACCTGGGTGACCAAGTATGTGGGCATCAGGAAGAGCCAGGTATTAGACATAGGTCAGTGGGTTTGAATGTATTAACATTTGGTCTGTGATTTTGCAGGAAACTCAGATACCATTTAACTGGGTTTCTGAGATGCACAGCTTAATGCTAAATAAAGGTATCATAAGCCACCCATGTGAAGAAAAGGCTCTTCTCTAAAAATCTGAACTCAAATCCAGTATCGAAAGCACAGGTCGCTGTAGGCCTTGTCAGGAGTCCAGAGAGTGGGCAGCAAGGCCTCCCTGAGCTGTTCATCCCTGCAGTGCATGCTGGTGAACCATGCTGCGCTGCTGATTTGTGGCAGATGAATACCCGGTCTCGCTATCCTGAGCTAACCCTCCTATTCTTGCCCTTTTTGTTGAAAGGAATTATTGTTAATGCATTTATTAAATTCAGGACTCCCAGCCAGATTTCTAAAGCAAAAAGCCAGTCAGCATGAGGCACCTAGCATATTGAGTCTGCAAAGTAAATGTGAAATAATAATAATTACCCCGCTGTTCTACCCCAGCTGCACTAGCTCCTCTGCCAAAAGCCCTCTGGGAGGACCCTGCCTTTGGAGAGAAGACCCCTATCAGGACAGAGGTGTGTGGCAGAGGCTCTTGGCTGCTCAGACCCAGTGACAACACCAGACCTCACACAGGCCCTGAGTTGCTATAAATAAATCACGGCTCTGCGAGCTGGGTCAGTACAGTCCTTCCAACCGGCTGCTCCTCTCCATGAAACATCGGGACTCGGGCGGGCAAACAGGAAGCTCCCCCCCCCCACCCCCGCCACAGCTTATCACTGTGGCTCTCAGCTCCACGCCACTTTGTGGGTGTCTGAAGCCTGAGGAAGCCCAGCTAATGAGGCATCTTCTTCCCTGGGTGGGACCCGCAGTCCCAAGCCCACCTGAGCCTTTCTTAATTTTTCACTCTGTCCGCAGCACAGCTCTCCAGGGAGAGATTCTTCTTTATTCCAAAACGGATGGGAAAACATGACCTGCTGCAAGACCACTGTTTAGGAAGATGTTAAAGTTGAGGGTGTGGAAAAATGACAGCAAATGCTGTGTAAAGACAGAAACTGCTTGTGAAAACGCAGCCTTCAGGGTCACACGGAGTGACGTGTGTAGGTAACTGGGTGGTGGGAGGGTTGGGAAAGTTGCTTTGGAAATCATCGAGTGGTTAGCAGTTTTCGGATCAAGAAGTTAAGAAACCGAACTGATGATTTTTTCTGCAGCGCCTGTCTGGAAACGTCTGGCACTGGTTTCTAGTTTTTCCTATGAGGACAGGGCCTCTTTAGGAAGAGCAGGTAATTTTGTGAAGGGGACATTTGCTGATTTCAAAATTTTGGACCTAGCTGGAACATATTTTTCTTTCATATTTTTGTTTTCTTCTGAGGGTTTGTGGAAACCCAGTTATTTTCCAGCATCAAGTGGGAGGAATCTTCAAAGATGGGCGCGGAGGCGGGGCGAGGCCCAGAGGCAGAGTCGCAGCCCAGATTCGAATCTAATTTGGATAACGTCCAGGAGCCCTGGGGCGGGTCTTTCCGCTGCCTCCCCTCACTCACTCACTGAATCCTGCATTGAGCACCTGCTGCGCAGTGTAGGAACCGGACGTACCTACATACAGTAGGTAAGAAGTGGACCGAGACAGTTCCTCCACCTCACGGGCCTTAAGTCGTAGTAGGGGAAGACCCGCAGTAAACAAGATACACCGCAACCACCCGAGCTCAGGGCATCGGGAGCTCTAGCGACGACAACGCCAGCTGCCGGACCCCAGCTTGCCGACTCCGCCTGACG